TTAGGATCATGCTAGCACGGGGTCCTATATCTAGTAATTTAAGACTCAATCTTGAACGATGTTTCAAAAAAAGGGTCCGTTTGGCCATGCGATATGAAATCATGAGATGGAGTTGAAGTTTTGTTTCGACATGCGATTTGGAGTTTTTGTGTTGCATATTTTCTCATAAAAATAAAAATCTCATAAGTTGTAAAACTATTAAAATAGTCCCAGTTATTTATTCAATCTTACCAAATAAACAAAAATTTATAAAATTGCATAATAAATTATTACAAAGCCATTGTGGTCGGTCTTGTTCACTCAATATAGATGAAAAGTTATTTTTTTATTAAACATTATAGTAGTAGTAATAAATTTAGTGGACAAATAAATTTGATAAACAATAATGAATTTGACGAATACAAATGATAAAATAGAAATTGATTTACAGTAATAATAAATTTTATGTTGGTGAGTATAATAAATTTTAAAAAGTAATGATATGATTATAAATTTTATTTGCATATGAAATAAATGGCTAGTAGATAAAAATGTAAGTTGTTTTAACAAAATATAAACTAGTGGGTCAATTTTTGTATTTAAAAAATCTCAAATCATGATTTTTGGAGAATATGAGATTCTATCTCATGATAGCCTGAAACTGCAAGTCCAATCGCTTATTTCATATCGTAATATGATATTACATGACCAAACACTAGCTAAGTCTGAATGTTTATTATCAACTACTATCGAAACATATAACTGCTTATGCATAAAATTGGTTTGGTTTCAACTTTCAACATTTGAATCAAAATTTATATTTTATCAATTAATGAGATCTAATATCAATGTATCAATTTAGGGCCTGTTTTGGACATGATTTCAAATAGTGATTTGTAATTAGATTGGTTTGAAGTTAAAATTATATATTTTTCTCATAAACATGAAAATTCAATAATTTGTGATAATTGTCAAACCTTGTCCAACTCTTATACAATCTTCCTAAACGAGAAAATAAATATGGATATAAAATGTTGATAAAGAATAAAACCTAAGCTCATAAAAATTTATATAAATATGGATATACATTTTTATGAATATGTTCACAAAAAGTAATAAAGCTAAAATAAATATGGATATAAAATGTTGATAAAGAATAAAACCTAAGCTCATAAAAATTTATATAAATATGGATATACATTTTTATGAATATGTTCACAAAAAGTAATAAAGCTGGAGAATGAACTTACTCATTAAATTTGTAACTTTCCTCTACTTTTTCTTCTAATGGAGAGAGTTGTACATATTCTTAATTTATAACTCCATTTATATAAGTTGATCATTCAGCATAATTTGATGGATTAGATAAGATAATTTATTGTAAAAGAAGTTAGGTAACTTAAGAAAATTAAGAGTTATTTATTTTCGAGGTGAAAAGCCTTAAACTATGAAAAATATTCTTTTCAACTTTCATGTAACAACTTAAAAATGGTTAGCAGAAAGTGAAAAGTTCTTCTCACTAAATAGTATATAATAATAATAATAATATTTAATTAATTAGATATTTGATAACATAGGGTAAAATAGTAATTTAACTTTGCACTTTGGAGCTTCCCATTCTTAACACGTGTAACCCAATTTTATTGACCACAATTTTTTTTAAAATTACATAAATATTAGTAGTAAGAAATATGTTTGATTTATAAATTATATATTAAAGAAGAAGTGCAAATTTTTAAAGTGATATCTTAATCCTACTTGGTGAGCTCTCTAAAAGGAAAAAAAATACTTCTCCAAGGAAATCCTTGGTTTTCTTACTTTGATTTCTAATTTCGCATTTAATTAGCAAAGTTATTGGACGTCACACACAGAGATTAAAGATGATAAATATTATTAAATTAGATAATTAATTAGGAATTAATCTAAGGAAGTCTAAAAGTAAAAAAATTAAAGTGTACCTGTTGGACTTCATATTTCACCACTATTTTATTAAAATATTAGTCTTTAATAAATTAATTAATTTTATTTTGATTTAGTAGATGTGTAGAATGGTAATTTATATATATATATATATAACATTAGATAGTTAATTAGGAATTAATCAAAGGAAGTCTAAAAGTAAAAAGTTAAAGTGTAGTTGTTGGACTTCATATTCCACCATTATGTAATTAAAATATGTACACCACTATATATATATATAGAGAGAGAGAGAAAGAGATTATAGATGATAAATGTTATTAAATTAGATAGTTAATTAGGAATTAATCTAAGGAAGTCTAAAAGTAAAAAAATTAAAGTGTACCTGTTGGACTTCATATTTCACCACTATTTTATTAAAATATTTATATTTAATTGTTTTATAGTAACAATTTTAATTTATAGAAGGGTAAAAGCGTAATTCAACTTTCAACTTTTTTTGTTCCCACTTTTTTTTTTATATATATATATATATATATATATATAGAGAGAGAGAGAGAGAGAGAGAGAGATTGTAGATGATAAATATTATTGTATTAAATTAGATAGTTAATTAGGAATTAATCTAAGGAAGCCTAAAAGCAAAAAGTTAAAGTGTAGTTGTTGGACTTCATATTCCACCACTATGTAATTAAAATATGTACACCACTATATATATATATAGAGAGAGAGAGAAAGAGATTATAGATGATAAATGTTATTAAATTAGATAGTTAATTAGGAATTAATCTAAGGAAATCTAAAAGCCATTAACATTTATATTAAACTTATACAATTTGATATTTAATTGTTTTATAACATTTTAATTTAGAGAAGGGATAAAACCGTAATTCAACTTTCAATTTTTTTTGTTCCCACTTTTAGTAATAATAATAATAATAATATATGATATAATAGTGTTTGGGCACATTCCATGCTGATTAATACAAAAATATTTATATATATATAGAGAGAGAGAGATTATAGATGATAAATATTATTAATTAGATAGTTAATTAGAAATTAATCTAAGGAAGTCTAAAAGTCATTAACATTTTAATTAAATTTATACAATTTTATATTTTATTGTTTTATAGTAACATTTTTAATTTATAGAAGGGTAAAACCGTAATTCAACTTTCAACTTTTTTTGTTCCCACTTTTATATAAATATATAATAAAATATAATATAATATAATATAATATAATATAGAGAGAGAGAGAGAGAGAGATTACAGATGATATATATTATTGTATTAAATTAGATAGTTAATTAGGAATTAATCTAAGGAAGTCTAAAAGCAAAAAGTTAAAGTGTAGTTGTTGGACTTCATATTCCACCACTATGTAATTAAAATATGTACACCACTATATATATATATTATATATATATATATAGAGAGATAGATAGATATATATATATAGAGAGAGAAAGAGATTATAGATGATAAATGTTATTAAATTAGATAGTTAATTAGGAATTAATCTAAGGAAATCTAAAAAACATTAACATTTTAATTAAACTTATACAATTTGATATTTAATTGTTTTATAACATTTTAATTTATAGAAGGGATAAACCCGTAATTCAACTTTCAACTTTTTTTGTTCCCACTTTTAGTAATAATAATAATAATAATATATGAGATAATAGTCTTTGGGCACATTCCATGCTGATTAATAAAAAAATATTTAAAATGGTACAGAATGAATTAGTATTTTGCAAAAGTTATAAAAAATATAATCGGAATGCATATGTATATATATATTGGAGGTATAGTAAATCACCATCAATTTCATGGTGTACATCTATAAAAATAAAAAATAAAAAATAAAAGTAAAGATTTAATTATGATAAAGATATTTAGTAATTGTTGGCATTATAAATTTGACAAGAAAAGATATTAGTTGAATTATTTAATATAAGAGTATATATTATAACAAATAAAAGAAGAAAATGATAGAAAAATACGGACCCATTTTCAAAATATGATTTTTATATTGACTCAATTGAACTAATTTTGTCTTCACTGTCAAATAAACAACTTCATAGGGAACCTACAGAGGCAAAAAACACGAGGATTACAAGGAAAACATAAAAGATTCTACATTGATATAATTTGTTCAAAGTTTAATAAAATGGTATAGTTATAATAATTTTATTAATTCACCCGTTAAAAAGCTTCTTCAGAATTTTATAAATAAATGTGAATATTTTAAAAAAGAATTATCACTGTAAGGGTAATATAGAAAAAAATTAATTAATGTTTTCTCGATTTAGTAAGGTGGACAACTATTTTTAATAAGATGATCAACTAATATAGGACGGAGAAAGTATTAATATCAAAGGTTTAAGACGTGATCCTTCTTTTTTATTGTGCTCAATTTTCAAGAGACATTTATTAAAATAAAACAGTTTAGTAAACTACACATTATATTTATTATTTCTTAATACGTAATTATTATTTTTTGTAGAAATACGTAATTTCTTACTAAGATACATTTTATTTTAGAACGAATTGAGTAGTTTTATGATTATATACTATCTCCTTTGAAATTGTATCACATAATTGTGCTTTATGAGGATTCACTAGCATTGGTTTTTTTTTTTTTTGAAATTAAACATTATGAACTTTGTATTCTAGAAAATTAATTGACCTTATAGTAGATCCTTTTCTGAGTTTATAAAAGTGCTTTTTAAAAAAATAAAAATGTGTATTCTAATTTATTTATTTTTTGACATTATAGCACCGCTAAGTCCTGAGGTTTATTAAAAACAATCTCTCTACCTTTCAAGATAGGAGTAAGGTATAAGTTAACTCTACTTTCTCCATACTCCACTAATGAGATTATACTGGATATGTTATTGTCGTTTTATAGCTTGAAGTTGATTATTGTTTATTTGCAGTTTGAAGGTTACGTAAAGCTTCTCATAGTTGTTTCGTGATGATATTGTGGAGACTAACAAACTAAGTTAGAGTATTGTGTATATTACTCGAAATTAATGAAACATGATTAGAGTGCATAATTCAATGTATTGAGATGTAAACATGACTAATGCCTTGTAGTATTCAACAACTTAATATAAATTATGGCTAATGCCTTGTAGTATTCAACAACTTAACATAAACTATGGCTAATGCCTTGCAGTATTAGTAAACTATGGCTAATGCCTTGTAGTATTCAACAACTTAACATAAACTATGGCTAATGCCTTGCAGTATTAGTAAACTATGGCTAATGCCTTGTAGTATTCAACAACTTAACATAAACTATGGCTAATGCCTTGCAGTATTAGTAAACTATGGCTAATGCCTTGTAGTATTCAACAACTTAACATAAACTATGGCTAATGCCTTGCAGTATTAGTAAACTATGGCTAATGCCTTGTAGTATTCAACAACTTAACATAAACTATGGCTAATGCCTTGCAGTATTAGTAAACTATGGCTAATGCCTTGTAGTATTCAACAACTTAACATAAACTATGGCTAATGCCTTGCAGTATTAGTAAACTATGGCTAATGCCTTGTAGTATTCAACAACTTAACATAAACTATGGCTAATGCCTTGCAGTATTAGTAAAAAGGGACTATCCTCCGACCTTGTCAATTTTTCTCATTTGTTTCTTTGATCTTCCCTATTCTTCGTGTGGGTGTATCTCGGCCGGTCTCGCGGCCGGTTTCTCGTCCGGGACCGGTCTCGCGGCCGGTTTCATGTCCGGGACCGGTCTCTTGTCCGGGACCTTGCTCTTTTCCGGGACCGGTCTCTTGTCCGGGACCGGTCTCTTGTCCGGGACCGGTCTCGCGTCCGGTGTCACGGCCGGTGTCATGGCCGGTTTCTCGTACGAGACCAGTCTCACGTCCGGGACCAGTCTCGTGGCCGGTCTCTGGTTGAACAGCAAATAAGAAATTAGAATTAGCATATAATAATTAAGATAAATAATTTAATAAATAACTTACCAGATCTATAGGGACAGGATTATAGCAAAATACCTAACAAGACATAAATAATCCTTTAGTATCAGAATTAACATAAAATATGTTTATAAAAACTAATGATGAGTCTTACTATAAGGTAACCACCCATAATGGCCGGGATGAGAGGGATTATACATCCGGGCAAAGGAAAAGGGAGATAGTCCGTTTTCAACATCCGTCCGAGGTATAGCATAAGAAAAAAACCGTAGATGCATCTCTTGACAATTTTCTTCACCAACATGATGGCTTTTTTGGTATCTTCCCATTGAGGAGGAACGTCTATGCGGGTATATTCCCTTTGAACAAATTGGTCTAGAAAGATGATGAAGATGAAGAATACGTTTGATATGAAAACAACTAGGGCTAAATCTTCTTCGTAAAATAGGTGTCGACCCACTTGAAACCAACTAGAAATGCAATCAAATGTGATGTCATTTTTTCCCGATATGAAAAAGTGGATGACATGATTCGATAGTCTGTTTTTATACTTGATGCTACACGCTAACATCAAACAAGGAGGAATCAACAATAAAATATATGTCATGACTTTTTGAACATACTGAATCTTAAAAAATTCTAAGAAATGGAAGGGTAGAGGAAACAAGTAAAGTGTTACTTGATAAACTAACCCATATAATAGACAAAACAAAACACCCAACAGTGGGTTTGCTCGATCCATCACTCCTAAAGAAAATAGAGAAAGAAGAGAAAATGTGGATTGATGATTTCGATTTTTGACAGAGAAGGAGAAAGAAAGAAAATAGAGAAGAAAGGAGTGTGGAGTGAAGTTGAGAATAATGGATAAGAAACTCTCTGTTTTATATCATTCTAATGGTGCCTGGTGGATCCCACACCATGTTTAAAATATGGTGCCTGGTGGATCCCACATCATGTTAAAAATAATTACTACTCCCTCCGTTTCACAAAGAATGATCTCCTTTCCTTTTTAGTCAGTTTAAAAGAGAATGACTTCTTTCCTTTTTTGGTAACATTTTACTTTTTGCTTTCCACGTGGCATGTTTAAGACCACAAGATTAAGGGCAATTTTGTACATTTGACATAACTTTAATTTAGGACCACAAGATTCAAAAGTCTTCTTTATTTACTTAAACTCCGTGCCAAGTCAAACCAGGTCATTCTTTATGAAACGGAGGGAGTATCAATTTTGGAAATGGTGTAACAGTAGAGATAAGATGAAAAAGTATTGAAGATATGTGATTACATGCATATTATCGAGAATTTCAGACGAATGTATTAAAGCTTCATGCCAGGAATAATGATAATTAAGTCGATAATTATAAGAAACTACTAGTCATAAACAATGATAATTAAGTCGATAACCATAAGAAACTACTAGTCGTTCAAATTGATTCGAACTTGGGTTGGCTGGGAAAATTGAACCTTCTTCACCACTCGGCCAAGGGTCTCACTTGTGTTAATGGGGTCAAAAGTTAATATATACATATAAAATTTAAAAAATTGATTATATATATATATATATATACGGTGTTATTTTTCAAGAAAGTGGGTTCATATGAAGCCACTTGACCGACTGTAGGTCCGCCCCTGTCTTGAATCCACACTGCAATTTTCAATCAAGTAAAAGTAAAAGTATTAGCTGAGGCTTCTATACAGGAACTCAATCGAGAGATTTGAGCTTACTCTATAGATTACAAAATTACCTGAATTCCACTACGAGATATTAAAACCATAAGGAGGAGGAAGTATTATATATACACAAAAAGAGAGGATGCAGTCAAAATTAAACTGTTGCTAGAGCCTTCTGGAAAATAATTATAATTAAAAATAGCCACAATTTCTTTCCACTGACAAAGATGTGAATGAAATCAGGCCACAAACCTCAAGCTTTTCCATATCATCATCAAGCATTAAAAGCACTTCACCAATTCCCTGTTTTAAAATATATCTTTCTTCCTTCAAAACACAACTCTTTAATAAATAAAATGATATAAAGTACAACACAACACAAAACAAAAAACATATTTTTCTTCTGCATCCTCTCTTTTTGGTTAGCAGGCAGACTCAAATTGCTAGAAGAAGATGAGAAATATCCCCCCCCCCCCCCCCCCTACACACACACGAAGAATTGATTATCTCTCATCACTCCGCGCTATCCATCTATGGATATACTATGTGGTTCTTGTGCATGATGGGTTGGTTCTAATCCGAGTTGTTACTAATCGTGAGTTTCTCTTGTTGTGGAATCCCTTAACAAGAGAATCAATACAACTTCCCTTTCTCATATTTGGAATAAGGAATTCTACTTTTGGATTGGGATACGACCCAACTATTTACGACTATAAGATACTTACAATTCACAAACACAATGTGAAAAAGTGCTTCTTGGAAAAATAATGTTGATATGAAGACACCTCGCACTTTGAAAAAAAGGTTTGGTTTTAGGGATCCATTGTCATTTGTAAATGGAGCATTTCATTGGATTTCTTGTTGATTTGGTGTTGTTTCATTCAATATTTCAAACGAGGTATGTACCGTTGTCTCAACAAATGTACTCTTTATCTTTCCCTTTCTACCACGAAGGACAATCATGTTTCAGTTTTAGATCGAATGCTTTTCTTTTCTTCGACTAATTGTAAGGTTGATGGGGAGAATACTTTTGTGAAAAATGCATATTATTACTGTAATTCAACATCCTATAATTATTTAACTCTAGACCTGACACATACAATAATTCAAATACATCTACCACTATGTAATTAAAATATTAGTATTTAATAAATTAATTAATTTTATTTTGATTTAGTGAAGGGGTAGAATGGTAATTATTATTATATATAGAGAGAGAGATTATAGATGATAAATATTATAAAATTATATATTTAATTAAGAATTTATCTAAGAAAGTCTAAAAGTAAAAAATTAAAGTGTAGTTGTTGGAATTATATTCCACCACTATGTAATTAAAATATTAGTATTTAATAAATTAATTAATTTTAATTTGATTTAGTGAAGGGATAGAATGGTAATTATTATTATTATTATATATAAAGAGAGAGAGAGAAATTATAGGTGATAGAGAGAGAGCGAGAAATTATAGATGATAGAAAGAGAGAGAGAGAGAAATTATAGATAATAAATATTATTAAATTAGATAGTTAATTAGGAATTAATCTAAGGAAAGTTAAAGTGTAGTTGTTGGACTTCATTTTCCACCACTATGTAATTAAAATATGTAGAATGATAATTATTATTATTATTATAATTATATATATATATATATATATATATATATAGAGAGTGTCATTATACAAACTCAAACATGAAAACCATAATGAATACAAATACACATATCATCATATTGGAATGAATACAATCAATTACTTTTGAAATTATAACTGATGAGAATTTTAAGTGATATGTTCCTTTTTTAAAAAGATTTTCTCTCATGATTTTCTCCTTTCTGTTATTAAATAATTGTATTATTTCAACTCAGACAAATAAAAAATACATAAATTAGAAGAATAACAAACTAAAATATTGACATTTTTAATTAATATTGAAAATGTTGATAAGAGATCCCATTAAATGCTAAAATATTGACATTTTGAAAATTTTCCCCAAAGAATTAGCATAGCATATGGGCTTGTATATGACTCATTAGTTCAACCCATGATTACAAATAAATAGAAGGAGTAAATGGGAAACTTTCGCATATAGCCACTCAAAAATAGCTTAATTACGTTTCATAGCTATACTTTGTTAATTACGATTCGTAACTACATGTTATAGGGAGGAGAGTGGCAAGCGAGAGAGGGCAATAATTTGTACATTCCGCATCTCGTTTTTATAATTCGCGGGTACATTAATATAATTTGTGTGTTTTTGTATAATTGAGTAATATAAAGTCTGGAATTTATACAAATTGATAAAAATAGAACTATAACAAATTGATACAGACATAAATATATGAACTTTAAACAATTATACAAATTATATCATACAAATTACATTCTATAAATTATATTATACAAAATTCAAAAATTACACGTTTATACAAACTTTAAAAAGTTATACATAAAAAGATTCAATATATATGGTGATAAAAATGAAAACCCAAAGAAAATCATCGTCATATACAAATACAAACCATCGTATAGAAATACAAATGGGTTAGGAACTAATGGGTTCGTACTAGATATTATTTCTAGTGGGTTTCAACTAGTAGGCACATATTCTATGAAGAAGAGTTGACCCTAATTATTGCTAGAATCAGGTTCATGAGAAAAATCGTTAAGAGATGCGTTTATGGAGTTTTGGCTTTGTCATACTACCAACGCATGCTAGCATTGATAATACCCCTCATACCGACAACTATGGGTGCTTACCTAATAGTAAGACCCTAGAGTTAATTAATTTCATATTACTTTTGTTCATTCTGATATTAAATTATTATATTTTGTCTTTGTTAGGTACTTTGCTATGATGATCCCCACAGATTGATATGATCCTGGTAGGTATTTTATCTTAATTATTTATTTATCTTAATTATTATTATGTGCTAATTCTAATCTTTTTGCATGCAGGCCAACTGGCACGCTCACCTTGAATGAGTTGTTTATGTTATTTGTTATGTTTGAGTTATTAGGATGAATATTGTATTTGTTAAGTTGTTGTATTTCCTTCAAGTATTCTGAAATTTAAAGGAAGAGAATGTTAGTGCCTTTAAAAACTTGTGGCTCAAATGTTGTCATTCATAAAATGTCACATTTCAATTAAATCTCTTACCTCTTAATTACACATAAATATTAAAACGGTTCATTATTTTTGCATTAATTTCCTATCTTTCTTTCTTTTTTTTATATAACCGCTACTTCAGAGTTGAACATATGTGAATTATACATTTTCCCAGCATGGAGGGAGACCAAAGTATTTAATTTGAACATAAAAATAAAAAATGGATGTAAATTACTAATAATCATCAAGATGTTTGAGGTTTCTCCAACAACGCAGAAAGATAAACTTCATCCTTAGACTTAGGAGAAGTATCTGAATTGCAAGAACATGTACATTAAGTCATCGATACCCCTCCTATTATGGAAGAATCGATCGATCGATCAATAACAATCCTACATCCAATAGCTGAAGATCAATCCAACCATCCATTAGTCCTATGGTATATATGGATCAAATCCATCGTGTTGTCAAACAAAGGTATCGATCGACCCCTAAGTGCTATTATTGTCTCGCTGAAGGGCAGTTGAGAGATGAAAACAAAATGTACTATTTTTTTATTTATTTTTATATATATAATACAAAAAATACAAAGAAAAACGAATTTTTTTGTGTAGGAATATTCTAGAATCACTAGTATTTGTGTATTATTTAATGCATGTGGTGTATAAAATAAAATAGTTATAATTCTAATAAAGCTACCAAATGACTCATTAACAGATATGCCCAATGAGTAAAGTTTTTTTTTTCAAAAGAAGCAGATTCAATTCAAATTAAAACCCAATTATTGCACTCTATACATACAAAAAAATAAAAATATATGGAGTACAAAACAAACAATTGTAGAGGGGGTACGTATGTACAGACTGCCAATTATGGCTATTTCTGCATCTTTCCCATTGGCAAACAAAATGTACTATCTATAATACAAAACATACAAAGAAAAAACAAAATATTAATTCTAGAAGCACTAGTATTTTGTAGACTATACTAGTTATTTTGGGATAACTTATTCCACAATGTATATCGGATAACTTATCTCAAACATGGCAACCAAACAAGACACCAAAATTTCATCC